TTTCATTTAGCATGTTTTCAAGGTTCATGCATGTTGTAGCATATATTAACACTTCATTCCTCTTTATTAGCACTTCATTCCATCTCCATTGTATGGAGATATCACATTTTGTTTATCCATTTATCAATTGATGGCATTTGGGTTATAACTTTTTTTTTTTTTTAAAGATGACCGGTAAGGGGATCTTAACCCTTGTTTTGGTGTTGTCAGCACCACGCTCACCCAGTGAGCAAACCGGCCATCCCTATATGGGATCTGAACCCGTAGCCTTGGTGTTATCAGCACCGCACTCTCCTGAGTGAGCCACAGGCTGGCCCGCATTTGGGTTATATCCACTTTTTGGCTATTGTAAATAATAATGCTGCTATGAACATTTGTGTACAAATTTTTGTGTGGATGTATGTTTTGCATGCTGTTGGATGTATCGTGAAAAGTGGGATTGCTGGGTCCTACGGCATTACAGGACAACTCTGTTTAAGCATTTGAGAAAGTGTCAATTATTTTCCAGAGTAGCTGCACTATTTTACATTCCCACCAGCAATGTATGAGGGTTGTAGTTTTTTGACATCCTTACCAATGCTTCTTACTATCCATCTTTTGAATTCTAGCCATCCTAGTGGGTGTTAACTAGTATCTCATCGTGGTTTCAATTTGCATTTCCCTAATGACTATTGATGTTGAGCATCTTTTCATGTGCCTATTGTACATTTACATATATTTTTGGAGAAATGTCCATTCAGATCTTTTGCCCATTTTTAAATTGTATTGTAATTTTATTGTTCAATTGTAATAGTTCTTTATATATTCTCGATACCGGGTCCTTATCAGATATATGATTTGCAAATATTTTTTCCCATTCTGTGAATTTTCTTTTAACTTTCTTGATATTGTCCTCTGAAGAACAGAAGTTTTAAATTATGATGAATTTTTCTGTTTTTTTTTTTTCTTTTGTTGCTTATGCTTTCGGTGTCATATCTAAGAAGCCATTGCCCAATCCACAGTTGCAAAGATTGAAATTGAATTTTTCTGTTGCTTATGCTTTCGGTGTCATATCTAAGAAGCCATTGCCCAATCCACAGTTGCAAAGATTTATGTCTGTGTTTTCTTCTAAGAATTTTGTAGTTTTAGCTCTTACATTTAAGTCTTTTATCCATTTTGAGTTAACTTTTGTATATAATGTGAGCTAGGTCCAAATTCATTCTTTTGCATGTGGATATCCAGTTGTAACAGCACCATTTATTGAAAAGATTATTATTTCTCCATTTAGTTGTCTTGATACCCTTGTCAAAGATTAATGGACCATAAATGTGAGGGTTTATTTCTGGACCTTAACTTTTTTTTTAAAGGAATTTTTTTTTTAATTGAAACATATTGATTGTACATATTTATGGGGTACAGAGTTATATTTCAGTACATGTATTAAAATGTGGGATGATCAAATCAGGGTAATTATAGCATATTCACCATCATAAACTTTATAATTTCTTTGTGATGAGAACATTTAATCTCCTCTCTTCTAGCCATTTGAGAATGTATGATAAATTACTGTTAATTATAGATGACTATACACCACTATGTTATGGTGTATACTGCGATAAACCATTAGAACTTATTTTTCCTATCTGGACCTTAAATTCTATTCCTCTGTCTTATAATCTTATGCCAGTACCACACTGTTTTGATTCTTGTGGTTTTGTAATAAACACAAATTTTTGCAATTGGAAAGTATGAATCCTTCAACTTTGATCTTTTAAAAGATTATTTTGGTTGTCAGGATCCCTGGCACTTCTATATGAATTTTTCATGGATCAACTTGTCCATTTCTGCAAAAAAGGCAGTTGGAATTTTGGTAGGGATTGCATTGAAACTGTAGATCTATTTGGGGAGTATTGCAGAGTTAATATTAAGTCTTCCATTCATGTATAGGGGATGTCTTCCCATTTATTGAGGTCTTTAATTTCCTTCAACGATGTTTTGTCGTTTGCAGTGTACTTGCAATCTTTTTGTTAAATTTATTCCTAAGTATTATTTATTTTTGATGCTATTACGAATGGTATTGTTTTATCAATTTCAGATTGTTCACTGCTAGTATATTAGCAATACAAGTGATTTTCATATATTGATGTTGTATCCTGCAACCTTGCTGAACTTGTTTATTAGGTAACAAATGCTTCTTAAAATAGAAAAATGCTTTTTAAAAACAGGTGAGTTTGTTGGGGTTGTCTTATGTTAATTTGTTTCATTAAATTGTAGATTTTGTTTTTTCTTTAAAAAACTTAGGCATTTTTACTTGCCACTTTCATATATAGAGAATGAAGCACCTCCATTTGGCTATTAACACTGTCATTCTTTAGGAAATTTGATAGTAAAGAGTAAATTTTCTACCCCAGATGAGGTATAGCAAAAAAAGAAATGGGCTGTATGAAATGTGTCAGTCAAGACAAAAAATATGGTTGGCTGGAGCTTGGAAGTTTAAAAGTTAACCTGTTTCCATCTAATATTTAGAGTGGGTTTATATCAGTGTAGTCATTTGGGCTAGAAAAGACTGTGTTTGGCTAATATCTAAATGGTTTTGTAGTGCCTTTCTTCTCCAGATCATTTTATCAAGGGTTTCTTTAGTTTTCTTTACAGAGACTAGAAAAAACTCTGACTTACAGTTACTCAGCGTTTCGTACTGCCGTGATCAGTATGATCCTTTAGGTTTGGGGGTTCCAGGTAACCAGAAGAGACAAAATAAAACTCTCTGCTCATCTTGTTTTTGTGTGTTTGCCGTGGAGGTGGCGGGCTGGTAATCTGAGAGGGAGAATGTTTTCCCATGCTAGCAAAGACAGACTGAGGGCATCATCTGATCTTTATGGGAGTATGCAAAGCCTCAGTTTTTCCACTTGCCCATCTGCAATCATAAAAACAATGTGCTGACTCAACTTGGAGCTTCTGAAGAATGGCATTTGGGCTTAGACAGTCCTAAGAATCATGTAAGAGATAGAAATATTTGAGCAGGTTTTAAGAGGTAAAATTTGAACTAAAAACAGCTAGAACGAGGCAACATACTCTCATATCTTTCAAGACTTGTTTCCTTTAGTCATTAGTGTACCTCCTTGATTTAAGGTTTGGCAGGAATAATTTTGTCTCTGTAGAGATGATTACTGAGCAGAGAAAAAAATCCTGACTTTTAGTCACTCTGCATTTCATACATCAGTATGATCCTTGAGGGTTTGGGGTTTCAGGTAACCAGAAGAGACAAAATGAAACTCTCTACTGTGTGTGTGTGTGTGTGTGTGTGTGTGTGTGTGTGTGTGTGTGTGTGTGTGTGTGGAGGTAGGGAGGATTGGTTTGGGGTGGGGGATTAGATTCTGCTAGAAGCAAGTCAGTTAGGTAAAATACTATTATAATTATATTGCGTGGACCGTTTTCTGTTTAGATTTGTTCTTTTACATTTTTATTTGTTTGTTCATGTATACATACATTTACTTTCAATGATTAGAAGAACATTTACCAAAATGTTTACTAACAATGACTATTTCTTGATGGTGGGTTTTGGGGCATGCATTTTGTAATGTTTGGAGGAAACTAAACCCGTTAAAATGTTACTAATGTGTAAATTTAGTAACTTGAACCACTAATTTAGGTATTTAATTGACATTCAGTGTATTTAGGTGAAACTCACCCTTTTTTTCGAGGGGGAAATATGAAATATTTTGTCCCTAATGCAGTCATGCTGTCATTTTTGCCATTTCCCCCCACTTTGGAATTCTTAATGTTTGGGG